ACCAGGACAACCTTGTTTTTCCCCCTTTTTTGCCCCTAATTCCTAAACGGTTTGAGCCATAACCCCCCAAAGCAAATCCTAACCATCCCTTTGTGGTATGGAAACTTGTAGTATAATTTCAGAGAGATCCATACACCGTTCCACAGTTATTGTCTGGAAACTAGAAAATGCTTATTATTGGCCCCTAATTCCTTAACTGTTGGTACCATAACCCCCAAAATCAATCCCCACCTTCCTTTTGTGGTATTGAACCTTATGGTAAAATTTCAAGTTAGAGTGCGAAAACCAATGTGTCTTCGGATGACGACGACGCCAACGTCATACCAATATATGACCGCAAAATTTTTTTGCAGTCGTATAAAAATGTTTGTTTTTAGGCCCCTTTTTGGCCCCAAATTCCTAAAATTTTGAGGAAATTACCCCCAAAATCAATCCAAGCCTTCCCTTAGTGGTATGGTACCTTGCAGTACAATTTCAGAGAGATCCATACACTTGAACACAAGTTATTGTCTGGAAACCAGAAAAATGCTTATTTTTGGCCCTTTTTTGGTCCCTTATTCCTAAACGTTTAGGGCAATTACCCCAAAACTCATATCCAGCTTTCCCTTTGTGATATGGAACCTTGTAGTACAATTTCATAAAGATCCATACACTAACACACAAGTTATTGTCCTGAAACTAGAAAAATGCTTGTTTTTTGCCCCTTTTTGGCCCATAATTCCTAAAATTTTGAGGCAATTACCCCCAAAATCAATCCCAGCCTTCCCTTTGTGGTATGGTACCTTGCAGTACAATTTCAGAGAGATCCATACACTTGAACACAAGTTATTGTCTGGAAACTAGAAAAATGCTTATTTTTGGCCCTTTTTTGGTCCCTTATTCCTAAACGTTTTGGGCAATTACCCCCAAACTCAATTCCAGATTTCCCTTTGTGATATGGAACCTTGTAGTACAATTTCAGAAAGATCCATACAATTACACACAAGTTATTGTCATGAAACTAGAAAAATGCTTGTTTTTTGCCCCCATAATTCTTAAATTTTGAGGCAATTACCCCCAAAATCAATCCCAGCATTACCTTTGTGATATGGAACCTTGTGGTACAATGTCAGAGAGATCCATACACTAACACACAAGTTATGTCTAGAAGTTTAAAATTGATTATTTTTGGCCCCCAATTCCTTAACTGTTGGTACCATAACCCCCAAAATCAATCCCAACCTTCCTTTTGTGGTATTGAACCTTATGGTAAAATTTCATAGAGATCCATTCACTTAAACTAAAGTTAGAGTGCGAAAACCAATGTGTCTTCGGACGACAACGACGCCGCCAATGTCATACCAATATGTGACCGCAAAATTTTTTTGCGGTCGTATAAAAATCAGGTTAAGAAAAAAAGTTTAGTTCTAGAAATTAAGTCTCTATGCAACAAGGAACTTGTGAGATTTATGGAAATGATTAGATATTATCGAAAAATGGTCCAAGTATGTCTCATATTTTCAGAACATTTGAATATAAATTTTACATAGACAACATGGTGCATTTTAGAAAATTTAAGCCATTTTAATGTCTACGCCTGCTCTAGTTTCACTTGACTTTAAGAAACAATTCAAGCTTGAAATTGATGTTGGCTCAGAAGTCTTACAGAATGATGAAGATGGTATTGGCATAATGTTTGTTATTTTTCTAAGAAGTATGATAAGCTAGGTATACATACCACAACAATACCAGTTAGGGTATATTGTTTCCAAAACAAAATCTATGGCATGTAACTATCAAAAGAGAAAATACTTTAAATATAAAGTTAGATTTGTAACTCACAAAATCTGCTCATAACTCGGGTTGTGTTTGATATGGCCTGTAAATTGGTAAGATGTCAATATAATACTTCCATGGTAAGACTATATGTTGCCCTCTAGATGTCATTTGGTTAATAGTGTCATAAGGTTGTTGTCTTATTGACGTACAATATCATTTCATCCATTATTACATTTGTTCAATCTCCTGTAAGGCAGTTTTTCTCAGGGTTTCAATAAACTGGAAAACAATGTTGCCAATAAAGTGTTTTGAAGAAAGTGTGTTTTAGATTAGATTACTTTTTTTTCTTCGTAAGCATTTAATAGTGAACAGCAGGAATTTTTATACATCTGTCGAAGATGGAACATATTATGGTATACCAATGTCCATCCATCCGTCCGTGCATCCATCCATCCCTCCCTCTGACAGTCTATCAACACTTCGTACAATGACTAAAATTTGCTTTAACCTATAAAAAACACAACATTAGGATTGAGTGAAGAAAGCTCCATTTTGATTTTTCCAGTTTTCTGGATTGTCGTTCCCGAGTTACAGGGCTTTAATTGTCAGATTTAAGTAAATTTTTCAAATGTTGTACCATTACTCGAGTTTACTTCGGTTGATTTACTGGAAACTTGACATAATTGCTAAAATTGGTAAATAAAACGCTATTAAAAAATTTGGATATGTCATACCAGAGTAATAGGACTTTGACCATTAGATAAATAAAAGACATTTCTTAAATGTAGTATGCTTGGATCAAATTTTTACAAACTCAACTCTGATTGGTGAATAAAAACTCGTTTTTGAATTGAAAGTCTTCAGGTTTGTCATTAGTCGTGGGACTTTTAACAGTCATATTTGACACAATATTTATACATCTAAGGGTATCCTCACGCATGTTTTTCTAAAGAGCCACTTTGGTTGCCTTCTAAGTATCCCATTTCATTTTTGCAACAATTTCAATACGCACAATAAAGGTGTATCATGCGCTCTTGGTGCAGCTGCTTATTCAAACTGTTCTTATATATTGTTCTAAAGCAGATGATAAAATCACATACACGAGTAAGCAAGAGGCTGTCAGAGTGACATCAAACCGGATTTTCCTGCATGAAAATGATATTTGCAAATCTGGACCCCCAAACATGATCAAGTAAAAAACAAAAGTTGAGATTCAGCATTTCATAGAACCCCATATATTCAATTTTTGTTGATATCAAACAATTTAATTTTGGACCCCTGATTAGCACCAACTTGAAAATTGGGCTCAAAATCAAAAATCTAAATACATGTTTATTAATAAACAATATAAGTTTTAGTTTTTAAAGGATTTTGCTCCATAAAAAAATATATATATATATATAGCATTTAGAAAATTAGTTTATACAGAATAACAAACAAGCCTACCACAAAATTCTTCAAAACATTTACAAAAAAAAAAGAAATTTTTGTTCTTCAAAATATCATTTATCATTAATACTATAATAATAATCTATAAAACTTATCTGTAATTAATTTCAAAATAAATAATAATGAGCAGTAAATTTCAAACTATATTTATACTGTCCTACAGAGCTTATCATCAACAACACTTAGGAAACACAAAATTTTCAAATAAATCTGTCACTCCAATTATAATTTTGTTAGTTGATAATTACCACATGTTTGTTATCTTGATAAAAGGTGGAAATTATTGCACGAATAAAACAGATACAATCATTGATAGACTATCTACCCATATACTTATTAATTACACCATTTCTGTTCAAAGGGAAATAACTCAAAATAAATAAATCATATAATAAGTATCACTTTTGCTACTGAAAGGTCTACAACAAGAACAGCTAAAATCGTGAAAATTGAACTTGACCTTCATTTAGTCACAGGAAACAACATATCTAAATTTGAAAAGATTTCGTCAAAGTGTTTTCATGTTTATGAACGGACAGTTTGGCAGCCGCCAGCCCGGCCGCCATACATCCCCAAATCAATAACCGATTTTTCCTTCGAAAATCCAGTTAAAAATAGTATATGAAACTCCATGTGCATATTCTGCATCAATAATTCAGATTTTCTAAAAAGAAGCATTTTTTATGTTCTTTAGTTATGAAGGATTTACTGAAAATTGAAATTGCCATTTGTCTATAAATGAATGATTTACATAGAAGTAACAAAGAACTTTTAATCTTTTCTCTTGTTCTAAAAAGAGCAATTGGTTTTGATATAAAAGGAAAAGGGTCATTATCTCAAAAGTTCAAGATGCAGTATAAACACTTTCAGAAGATGTTTTTTAGTGATGGATTTGGAATGAAATCTTAATTGCGTCTATTTATTTGTCATCAAATTGATACCTTATCACTGCTTTTGTATGGCGATATGAATCGCTGTTCTATCTTGTCTTTTTTTGTTTTGATTGCCAAAATGTGAATTTTTTGCTGATAAATGATAAAACTTCTATGTAAATACAGATATTAAGCAATGTTAAATGCATTTTTCCTCAGACAAATTCTGGCACAAGAAAATTGCCATCACTAGTGTTTTGTTGCCAGGTGATAAATAATCCTAAATTGTGATAAATCAACCAATACAATGTACCTCCATCGCTGGTGGAATTGAGAGCCTGAACAAGTAACTGAAGGACCTGTAATTGAGTTTTTTATAATATCTACAAATGACTCAAGTTAAGACTAGAGACCTACTGTTGTAGATTATGTGTCTATTAGGCCAATGAGAATGTTAGTCCAATATATGCCTCTAAGATTGATTTAATTGATTGATTTTTGGTGTTTTAACGCCACTTTTAAGCACCGCTTTTGGGCTATTTCGTGGCGGCCAGTTTTTATTGGTGGAGGAAGCCGGAGTGCCGGGAGAAAACCACCGACCTTCGATAGGAAAACTGACAATCCTAGTCAATTAAGATTGGAGTCGAGTGCACCCGCACGAGCGGGGTTCGAACTCACAACCTCAGTGTTGACTGGCTAGTGATTACAGTAGTAACTACTTAGACCACTCGGCCACCGAGGCCCCCTATGCCTCTAAGAAAACAGCTCTGTGATAAAGTAGGGACTTGACATGACAAAACAAGTATTATCATAAGACACGAATATAAAGTATTCTAGGTGTAAGGCATACAAGTTTGAATACACAGGACTTTTATCATATAAATATGGCATAAATTCATATAATATATGTAACAACCTACATACATTTGTGTATGGACACTACCTTTAATAAAGACATAAAAATTATATACAAATGTAAATATTTAGACAGCAAGTTTATGTTCCTGACAAAGAATTGAGTATATTTGCGGCACCATTAGCAGATACTTGTATGTTCGATGTATTCAGTTGAATCGATTGTCCAGCTACACTTGAGAATGCTGCCTGTAACTGATTGTTAATTGCTGTAGCGTATGAAGCCATATTTATTTCTGATGATGCTGACATGCCTGTAGATGGAGCAATGGCAATAGGTACTGGCTGTGGAAAAGATGGCGTAGCTGGGCGGGAACCTCCTCGGGTGTTTCCATTCTTTTGTTTAAGTTCATCTTCTTCTGAATTGGCATGTTTACCACCTTTAATAAATACACCACCAGACCCTCGCTGTCTGTTCAGAGCATGTCGATGTCGAGATTCATACAGGTATTTCTGTAAAGTAAGCAACCTCAAATTCAGTTTCTAAAGATAATTTCAATTCAAAATTAAGTAAAAAGAATTTTTATGCAACTAGTAAAACACATCTCACATTAAATTTCCTTTTCACAAACATGACTGACTGACCTTGCGAGACCCTCATGGGTAGCCAAGGTCATTAAAACACCCCCCTAGTAGTACTTTTCACAAACATGCCAGTAGCCAGAAGAGCTGTTTAATCCATGTTGGTAGCTGATACAGTTAAATAGTCAGTAGTACAGAGATTGAAACATTTTCCCATTGTATTTGAATGTAGTTTTTCTCTCTTCAAATATTTGTACTAGATCTATTTGTCTTAATACTGGTACGTCTTTCTATACATTCAAAGAATTTTTATTCTATTTTATTTATAGAGGAAATTTGAAGACTTGGGGAAGGCCTTTATATGCTATATCAATACTGGTAAATTCCGTTTGAGTTCTATTTATATCTATAAATCTTCACAAATAAATGATTAAAAATCAGATGAAGTTGATTATTCTGCAGTATCTTTGTATCTATGTATCTATGTGGTATACAAAATCTGACAATTATTCGAAATTTTTGCTAAAAAGTAATTTAAAAGCTGTTGATGAGGTCTAATGTAAATGAAAATTACTGAACACTGCAAATAGAAGGTAACAGAGTTTATGAATTGACCATGACAGATACTGGTCTATTCATAATTTATCCTTTTCTTAAAAACATTATCTTAATATGAATGGAGATCATCTTGGTAAAGGGTCTTTCATTTGTATTTGAGAAAAATGGTTCTGCTAATTGACAATTGAATGGCTATTGTGGTCATAAACTGTACCTCCTTCTGTATAGGTTGGTTTGTGAAATATTTAATATAGAGACCTTATGGTCAACTTTTTCATTTATTGACAACAAAAATTCTTGCAAAACATTGTCAGTTCATATAAGTTTATAACAAACAAAAGATGGGATATAAATTTAGCTACCACATAATAATAAATACAGATATGTGCATGATTTGTTGGTTAAATGTTTATTTTTTAAATAATTTTTTATAAAACAACTTTCAGTTATAAAGTGCCTATTTCTGAAAGCTTTTATTTTGGTATTGTTGATCATTTACTTCTGATTGAATGAAGTACATGAGTAAAATTCTTAATAAAAATTCTATATGACGCTCTTCGCCTCCTTTGTAAACAAATAAAATTGAGAATGGAAATGGGGAATGTGTCAAAGAGACAACAACCCGACCACAGAACAGACAACAGCAGAAGGTCACCAACAGGTCTTAGCCAATTTCATATTTCAACAAAACATGAGTTACCATATGTGTGATTAAATAAAACAATCTGCAAGTTACTATGGGACTATGGTCAACTGGTTGTCTAATCTGATTAAATGACCTACTTGTCTTTCTTTAGGTATTCGTCCTAATGCTTCTAACTTGGCCCTCGCTTGTCTTCTCTTCAATATTCTGTGATACTGTTTAGCATTAACATACAATGGCTCTTCACCAGAATCATTTGACTACAGAGAATATCACATGTTATACATAATGAAAAATAATTGGTAGTAATTTAAGCTGAATGGTTGAAAGTTTCAATAGTTATCAGATTTTTTTGTTACTCGAGAGGCATGAAAATTGTTCAAAGTTGGATTTTATAGCAGTGAATTACTAAAATGAAAAAAAAAACTTAATCTGAGTCAAGACTTTCTCGCTATAATATAGGTAAATACAGGTATAGCCTTTGCACTAAAATCCCCATTCCAATTTGACCTGGCTGTGTACTTGTACATTTAAACAGAAACACCTCTTTGTATAGATTTTACTGCCAGATGGAAGAAGGCCAGATGACCATATTACTATACCCCAGTGGAAACTCTTGGGGTGTATATATATACACAGAATATATGATATCTATAGATTCTACCACACAACCTCATTAATTAAAATATTTATGCACTCGAGATAGTTAAATTTAAAACTTTTTAAACATGTTGCCCTTGATCTTTGGCCTATAATATTACAAATGCTTGAAGCTCTTCTCAGGCAATTCTAACCCTCCTAATGGCAAAAAAGTGGATGTTTGAAGATGCTATGATCTATATGGTGCTTACAAAGGAAAGTAGATAGGAGACTAAGGAGAGTCTTGGATTAGTGAACTTATAAATTAGAACATTAAGTCGTCTTTTATGAGAATTACTGAATCTATATTAGATTCAGGTAAGTATTTTATTTTGCCCTGTATTGCCTAGATTTACCATATAAAACCTATTATCTTACACTGGGCTAGCAAATATTCATAAAAGCCAGGTTTTTGCCTAACCCTGATGGACAGGCCATATCTTAAGTTTACATAAATTCTATGTACTTACCACAGGCAGCTGTTGATTCATTTGATTTGTTGGTAAGTTTATCACTTGTATACCTGTAAACATAAATGGTACAATGTTATAAACAGTAATCATAAATGGTACATTGTAATAAATTGTAATCACATATGGTACAATGTAATAAACTGTAATCATAAATCATACAATATTATGGTACATTGTAATAAATTGTAATCACAATTGGTACAATGTAATAAACTGTAATCATAAATCATACAATGTTATGATCCCAATCCCAAAAGTTCTCAAAACGTTTCAACTCATTACTGTCAAGCTGCAGATCAAAAATCCAGTCATTCTATTAAGAAGACAAATCCAAAAAAATACCATCACATCATCACTATCATGTTTCATCTTATCAGCTGTTCACCAAATGTGAAGTAATTATTTTCAATAGTATCTGAGAAAGGTGAGATGATTTAGTTTGTTGGACAGAGAGAGAGAGAGGAACATATGAAGAAAGACAAAGTGATTGCAACATAGCACCCTCTCTATGAGTGGGGGTATAATTTGTCAATACAGATAATTCCTTTCAATAAACTTTTCATATGTATATTTTACATCATAAATCTTTATCTATCAATCATTATCCAATCTTTTTATCAGGTTTCTTCATCAGACATTTTATCATGTTAAACTTTACCTTCCTTGAGGAAGCAATCTTTAAATAATACATTGTAATCATTTACCAGTTGTAATGAAATTTAAGTCTTCAAGGTATCTTACTTAGGGGTAACTGTACAGGTTTACCTTGGTATAGGCAAGTTAAAATAAATGTTTGATTAATCAATGTGACTGTCATTGGAATAACAGTACAAATACTGATCTTTACGAATATAAATAATGTCCTACCATTCTGTTTGAATAACACAGGGGAATCTGGACAGGTTATTATTGGTGCTGAGTCACACAAATGTCTGATTATGAAATGATTATACAGTGTGGCTTACATTTTGAGTGAATGTGCAGCTTTTTTTGTGTATAGAGTAGTGAATTTGATATCTAAGATAATTCACTTACCTTGAGGTAACTGTACTGGTTTGTTATTAGCATCTACCAATACAAAAGATGTTTGACCATTCAAGGTGACTTGATTTAAAAACAACATCTGTGGTACTCCAACGGTTTGTACTGAACTTTGACCTTGTGGAGTTTGGACAACCATTGTTTGATTTTGAGTTGTCTGCCCCATGTTTGTCATCACCTGTGATGCTGGTGTAGTAAAGCCTGCTGTTGACATTGATGAGTATATAACATTCTGATTATCTGTGGTCTATAAAATATATAATACATGCATTATTTATACAGTTACATCTTACAGTTGTGTATAACAGTATAAGACTGTTCTCCAAGAGGCTATTAAATGTTTTTTTTTTGTCTTCTCACAGATGAGTATCATCAAACTGCCACTTTTCCTAAAGGTTGATAGCATGACTTCTAAAACAGTTGTATTTTCAGGAAATGTAATAAAAAATTCATTATGACCAACTGCCACATGGCTCAAACAGACACTAAATATAGGTTTGCCCCATTCATATAATCAAGAAGAACAAATTAAGCTTTTGGAAATGTTTTGAATCAGACTTATTCCCTTGCACTAAAAAACAATTTATCAACAGAACCACATTGTTCATACATGTATATGTCCATATGTGCATTGCTGTGAAATTTGATTATGCATCTGAAAGCTTTAAAAATAAAGAAATTGTGTTTGAAATGGCACTGACATGAAGAAATAATGTGAAAAGAGTTACTTCAGCTCAAAGATGTTGTCCAAACAATATCAATGATTAGAACATGTGTGTTTTTAAAATAAAAGCATTGCTTCTTATAAAGAGTGTTGTTGCATTTAGAAAGAGTATACAGCAAATGTAATTCCACTGGTGTTCATGCTCTATCAGGTAAGGAAACTTTAAGCAATCTACTAGTGAGTCGGTTCATGGAATCCATAGCAAAGAGTAATCAAAGTACTGAAGTACTGAACATCGGATGACCGCAAGTTCTTGTGGATGGTCACAAGCACTTGTCTCAGAAAGTAAATCACATCTCTATACCTGAAAGTGAGGTTAATGTAGAGATATATATTTTTTTCTGAGACAAGTTCGTGTGTGGATGATGAATAAATGACAGGGAATTCAACCTCATCGTAATAACTATAATATTGTAGTAATATTATATTAATATTTGTATATAACAGTTACATGTATATATAATTTTCATCTATTTGTACATCATTCTATTCTACTATTCTAATGATAGTGAAGTGCAAGTGCATGGTGGACACTCTTCTGTAATAATTGGATTTTTTTAATAGATTGGATTTGAGCAGGCATTCATATTTTCCCGCAAAACGTTCTTGTGATATTCTTCCGCATGCGTTAACACAATTTTTCTGTACGTGTGCATAGATATTAATAGTTTATTTATTTATATATAATGTATATATTTCTAACGACAAAACATTTTCATATTATTAATTTATGTTCTAAAAACGATATTTTTATGAGTATTCATTGGAGAAATGAATTTATAACAAGTAATAAGGAATGTTATTTAGCACTCGATAATGTCCGCTTATTTATAGATCGGTTACCAGTCAAAAACGAAAGTTACGCAAGTAGAAATCTCTGTGGCAACAATACATCGGAATGCCCTCATGGTCATCGCCATGTAAAAAGTAATCATATTCATGTGTTGTGACCAAATTTATTGCCCTTAGTTTCCCAATTGTTAACTCGATTGACTTTATTAACAAAGTCCAAGGGAATAAAAATTGAGGCACTAAAGAGCATTCAGCCATGTTTGAAGTATTTGTAGATCTTGTTCTGCTTATGTTTCTATATCTATTAATAAAGACTTCTTTGCCTTGACAGATTTCCTCGATCTATAGCGGTTTTCAAGATAATAGACAAAACTTGCATTTTAACACCATGTACTAATTTTAGCCATGTCAGCCATCTTGGTTGGCAAACAGAGTCATCACACAGTTTTTAAACTAGATACCCCAATGATGATTGTGGCCAAGTAGTTTCAGAGGAGAAGATTGTAGACTACGACAGACAATGGAGACCAAGTGATGGGATAAGCTAACACAGGATTCCAAATGACGACACTACTCATAGTTACAATTTAGGTTTATTGGTCTTTAAAATGTCAAAATATGCATAAATTTTTGTGGGATTTTCCGGGCATCACCATGATCTATTGTAGTGTGAGGGTACACCAAGCTTGAATTCTAAGCACCAACCTTAAATTACTAGCACCTGGCTTATTTTTGTGTCTGTCAAACTTCTATTTTTTTGCAATTTACCTCAGCTTGAGAAATTTGTGACAATTGTACTCCATCTTGTGTAATGTACTGAATTCCTGCTTGTTGTTGATCATCAGGCATGGCTACTGTTACTGTCTGTTGGTTGTCTGTATTAAATACTGTGTAAGTTTGGTCACCTTCTGTCATCTGAAAGATTTAATAAGCAGAATCTGTAAATACTGTGCAAGTTTGGTCACCTTCTGTCATCTGAAAGATTTAATAAGCAGAATCTGTAAATACTGTGTAAGTTTGGTCACCTTCTGTCATCTGAAAGATTCAACAAGCAGAATCTGTAAATACTGTGTAAGTTTGGTCACCTTCTGTCATCTGAAAGATTCAACAAGCAGAATCTGTAAATACTGTGTAAGTTTGGTCACCTTCTGTCATCTGAAAGATTCAACAAGCAGAATCTGTAAATACTGTGTAAGTTTGGTCACCTTCTGAAATCTGAAAGATTTAATAAGCAGAATCTGTAAATACTGTGTAAGTTTGGTCACCTTCTGTCATCTGAAAGATTCAACAAGCAGAATCTGTAAATACTGTGTAAGTTTGGTCACCTTCTGTCATCTGAAAGATTCAACAAGCAGAATCTGTAAATACTGTGTAAGTTTGGTCACCTTCTGTCATCTGAAAGATTTAATAAGCAGAATCTGTAAATACTGTGTAAGTTTGGTCACCTTCTGTCATCTGAAAGATTTAATAAGCAGAATCTGTAAATACTGTGTAAGTTTGGTCACCTTCTGTCATCTGAAAGATTTAATAAGCAGAATCTGTAAATACTGTGTAAGTTTGGTCACCTTCTGAAATCTGAAAGATTTAATAAGCAGAATCTGTAAATACTGTGTAAGTTTGGTCACCTTCTGAAATCTGAAAGATTTAATAAGCAGAATCTGTAAATACTGTGTAAGTTTGGTCACCTTCTGTCATCTGAAAGATTTAATAAGCAGAATCTGTAAATACTGTGTAAGTTTGGTCACCTTCTGTCATCTGAAAGATTTAATAACCAGAATCTGTAAATACTGTGTAAGTTTGGTCACCTTCTGTCATCTGAAAGATTCAACAAGCAGAATCTGTAAATACTGTGTAAGTTTGGTCACCTTCTGTCATCTGAAAGATTCAACAAGCAGAATCTGTAAATACTGTGTAAGTTTGGTCACCTTCTGTCATCTGAAAGATTTAATAAGCAGAATCTGTAAATACTGTGTAAGTTTGGTCACCTTCTGTCATCTGAAAGATTCAATAAGCAGAATCTGTAAATACTGTGTAAGTTTGGTCACCTTCTGTCATCTGAAAGATTCAACAAGCAGAATCTGTAAATACTGTGTAAGTTTGGTCACCTTCTGTCATCTGAAAGATTCAACAAGCAGAATCTGTAAATACTGTATAAGTTTGGTCACCTTCTGTCATCTGAAAGATTTAATAAGCAGAATCTGTAAATACTGTGTAAGTTTGGTCACCTTCTGTCATCTGAAAGATTCAACAAGCAGAATCTGTAAATACTGTGCAAGTTTGGTCACCTTCTGTCATCTGAAAGATTTAATAAGCAGAATCTGTAAATACTGTATAAGTTTGGTCACCTTCTGTCATCTGAAAGATTTAATAAGCAGAATCTGTAAATACTGTGTAAGTTTGGTCACCTTCTGTCATCTGAAAGATTCAACAAGCAGAATCTGTAAATACTGTGTAAGTTTGGTCACCTTCTGTCATCTGAAAGATTCAACAAGCAGAATCTGTAAATACTGTATAAGTTTGGTCACCTTCTGTCATCTGAAAGATTCAACAAGCAGAATCTGTAAATACTGTGTAAGTTTGGTCACCTTCTGTCATCTGAAAGATTCAACAAGCAGAATCTGTAAATACTGTGCAAGTTTGGTCACCTTCTGTCATCTGAAAGATTTAATAAGCAGAATCTGTAAATACTGTATAAGTTTGGTCACCTTCTGTCATCTGAAAGATTTAATAAGCAGAATCTGTAAATATTATGTAAGTTTGGTCACTTTCTGTCATCTGAAAGATTCAAAAAGCAGAATCTGTAACTGCAAGTTGTATATAAACAGTATGGCATGAAAAATTCTAGTACGTTGAAAAGTCGGAAGAAAATCTATAATACGAACCATTTGGTCCACACACTTTTTCTTCAACATAAACCTATAAAGCTGTATTAACATATCATGAACAAGGCATTGCCTACAATGTTAGCTTATCAGCTCTGTTCATTTCCAGAGCAAATAACTCCTCTTATCCAAGATATTGAAACCAAGATCTATTTTGAGGAAAATCAATTATAATGTAACATAAAAAATCTCTTAGCTCTATCTAGTTAATAAAACAAGCATTCTGAGAGTATTGCATGGCAATACATAGTCCCCTGGCCTACCAGTTAAAAATTCATTGTACTGGCACAAAATGCAAACTTGATCTATAACTTGTCATGGTGTTAACTATATAACAAATATCAAGTCAATATCTTCAAGCATGATGAAAAAAATCAATAACCGATTTTTCCTTCGAAAATCCTGTTAAAAAGTGTGGAAAACTGATTATTTATGTGAATTTTCTATGTCCAAGGACCATAACTCTGAACAAAATCATCAGACCAGAACAAAATGCTAACTTGATCTATAACTTGTCATGGTGTAAACTATATAACAAAGAAAACAAAGTGCGGAAACTGATTATTTGAGCGAATTTTCCAAGGACCATAAATCTGCACAAAATCATCAGACTGGAACAAAATTCGAAAGTGATATGTTACTTGTCAAGATAAAACTATATACCAATTATTAAATCAATGTCTTCAAGCATGATGAAAAAAGTGCAGAAAACTGATTATTTGAGTGAATTTTTAAGTCCAAGGACCACAACTCTGCACAAAATCTAGACCAGAACAAAATTCGAACTTGATCTGTAACTTGTCATGATAAAACTATACACCAAATATCAAATCAGCATAACTCGAGAATGGTAAAAGTGACCCCACCAAAATTCAAACTTGATCTTTATTTTGTGGTAATAAGCATTGTGTATATGTTTCATAAAATTTGGTTGAGGCAAACTTAAGTTAGAGAACAGAAACTAAAAATTTTGCAATTTTTCCATATATGAAGGGGCATTACTCTAGAACGGTTAGAGTGACGCTACCAAAATTCAATCTTGATCTGAATTTTGTGGTAATAAGCATTGTGTATAAGTTTCATAACATTTGGTTGAGACAAACTTAAGTTAGAGAACAGAAACTAAAAATTTTGCAATAAATCCATTTATAAAAGGGCATAACTCTAGAACGGTTTAAGTGACGCCACCAAAATTTAAACTTGATCTGTGTTTTGTGGTAATAAACATTGTGTATAAGTTTGATAACATTTGGTTGAGGCAACTTAAGTTAGAGAACGGAAACCAATTTTGGGATGTAAGTACGGACAAGGGTAAAACTTAATGCCCCCTATGCTTCGGCGGGGGCATAAAAACATAAAAAATTTAAATTGGACATATACCTTTTATGGTCCAATATCCAAAATCTAAATACATGATTAGATTCTGACAGCATATAAAAGAACTCAAAGAATTCATTTTTTGATGAAATCAAACAAAGTTTAATTTTGGACCCTGATTTGGACCTCAATGTGGACCAATTTGATAATGAGGCCCATAATCCAAAATATGAATACATGGTTAGATTCAGCATATCAAATAACCTAATATATTCAATTCCTGTTGAAATCAAACAAAGTTTAATTTTGGACCCCAATTTGGACCACCTTGAAAATGGGCCCAATATCAAAAATCAAAATATATGTTTAGATTCAACATATTTAAGAACCCCAAGAATTCAATTTTTGTTAAAATCAAACTAAGTTTAATTTTGAAAAGTTGGACCTTAATGTGAACCAATTTGAAAACCAGGCCCAAAATCAAAAATACATGGTTAGATTCAGCATATATTAAAGAACCCAAAGAATTCCAGACTTTGAAATTAAACCCCATTGAAATTGGTCAAGAAATAAGCAATTTATACTAAGTATTAGAACAGTATTGTTTTTCGTCCTTTTTTCCAAAACATTAAGGGCCATAACCCCCAATATCAATCCCAACCTTCCTTTTTTGGTATGGAACCTTGTGGTACAATGTCATAGAGATCCATAGACTTATACACAAGTTATTGTTCTAAAACAAGAAAAAGGCTTGTTTTTGGCCCCTAATTCCTTATCAGCTAGGACAATAACCCCTCATATCAATTCCAACCTTCCTGTTGTGGTATGGAACCTTGAGATTAAAATTCATAGAGATCCATACACTTTTACTCAAGTTATTGTCTGGAAACCATATGTCTTCAGATAACGACAATGATGACGCTGACAATTCATAACATTATATGAATGCAAAAATTTTGCATTCATATAAAAATTTGAAGTAATAATTACAAAAAGAGATTGTTGCTGACATCAGAAGGTTATAGACATATTTATACCTGTGTATTTAGCTGAATTTCCTCCAAATGACCCTAGATCTGCCTCTGAATAACCTTCTGGTGTCCTGCAACAATCACTATATAATTATGACGTCAAATGATTTAAATTGTGATGCAAAATTTTGCGGGAACTTGTTTGTCTCTAAGAAATGGGGACAAATTTACATAGAGTAAATATGAGTATTTGGATACAGATCTAGGGTTTATTCAGAGCAAATTCAGCTAAATACCCAAAGGTGTAAATAGGTCTGTTTGACCGGGGACACGACAACTCATACCTTGGCCAACATATATGTACAGCATGATAGTGTCTTAGTTGTTAGGTTTTATTGAAAATTTTATTGTTATTTTTATAGTACGGAAGCCATCATGAGTTAGTTGACTGTTTATGGTGAGGTTGAACCGTTCATGTTACCCAGTCTTTAGTTTTCTGTGTTGTGTTTTGTGTACTGCTGTTTGTTTGTTGGTGTTTTTCTTTTTAAGCCATGGTGTTGTCAGTTTATTTTGGATTTACGAGTTTGAATGTCCCTTTGGTATATTTTGCCTATTTAATTGTGAAGTGATGAATTCATTAGTTTAAACCCTTGTTGGTAAATATATAGAACATCATCTCAAGCTTGAATGATCCATAGAATTTCGCAAAAGGATACTTTTTACTGCAAATAAAGAAGATCAAAAT